TCTACCTCTAATTATGGGAAAGCAGGTCTTCTTCTTTGTCACCACATTTTTTATACCAGTATGGTTTTATATTGGATCTCATGGGAATTACTGGACAGTTTGCGGGATACAACACAGTGTTTTGCAAAAATACACAAGGTAATTTACTTGGGTCCTGGAAGCCAGACAGCTCTGTCATTTCAGCTTACAGTCATCATATGATTTAGGGTGTAAAAGACCTCTGCAGGTAACTGTTCCCACCACTTGCTCTCAGCACAACCAGCTTTTATGGCAAGTCCAGCTTCAAAGTTACATCAGGCTACTCAGGCCATGATTACTTGTTTTTTAAATATCTCTGAGGATGGAGACTCCAGAGCCCCTCTGGAAAACCTGTTCCACTGACCATGCTCACTGTGGCTTTTTTTTCCCTAATATCTAATGTGAATTTCCCTTGTTGCAAATTTTGTGGGTTGCATCTTGTCCCTTTGCTGTGCACCTCCAGGTTCTTTGCAGTCTTCTGTTAGATGTCTAAAACCAGCAATAAGCCCTCTCTTTTGCAGACTGAACAAATCCAGCTGTCTTGGCCTCTCCTCATAAATCATGTGCTCCATCCCCACTGAGGGATAGCAACTAATATATGACATACCACTGAATTGACATGGCTGTTTTACTTCTGGGACTGAAGCCGGTAGCTTTCTGTGAGCTTATAGGCACACAGCGCACCTGGAGCTGGTTCAGGTGTTTTGCCATATAGACAGACTCTTAGAAAGTCAATGAGGAAACAACTTAATTTAAAAATACCAATTCTCCTAAGGTGTTGTTCATGAACATAATTATTTCATTAAGCCTCTAAGTATATCTGAAATACTGTGGTGCATTTGGAATTAAATAGTGCCTCAGTCATTTGTTCATTCTGGATACACAGGTGACATGTTCAGGAATAGCAGGGATGAATGAGGCTCAGCTGTGATACTAAGAGCAGAGAAGTAAGGACACTGTAATGAAATCCAAACCAGTCACAAATTATGTCAGTCGCATCACCAGAGGTTGTAGAGCTGCCAGAGAGCAATGAACTGTCACTGTGGATCATCATGAGTACCGTGTAGCACACACATGACTTTGTTGAAGCAATGGCCTTCTTCCACAGAGCGGAGAATGCTAATCTCATGGCATTCACTCCAAAACCTTCTCATTTTATTGCCATTATGTGCTGAAAGAATCTCTTGCCATTTCATTTTGCTATCATTGGATAACTGATTGAGAAAATGAGGTTATACTTCTCAAGATCTTCACTTGGCCACATAAGGAGACAGCTCTGCAGCTGACAAGTAGGGGCCCATTGCTGGAACATACGGGGCAAACATGTGCATAGTGATACAGGAGCAGTGCCTGCAAGCAAAAGCAGTCAAAGCAAGACTGTAATACACAGTGACAACATAGGACCAATTTTGTAGCAGAGAACGGCTCACACAACCACCACAAAACTGGCCAAAATGATCTTGGCTCCTTTTGGAGCCTTTCCGCTCTTAGTGTTTGATGGGGGGTAAGAAAAGACAGCAAGGAGACCACTGCCTGTGCCTAAGGTTCATACCTGCACCCAGCGCTGATGTTTATGGGTCAGGGACCAGAAACAGGTTGACCTGGGCTTCGTCAGAGTCAAGGAGCAGATGGCTCTGCATGAATGACTGTGGCAGTGCCTGCTGGAGACAGACAGCTGTTTTTCCCATCTTGTAAACATGTATGTAAGGTGTAAAGAGAACAATACGCTTCCCAACCGGTGCGATTTCTGAACTGGTGATTAGGCTGTCTCTGAACTATAATGTGTTTTTGTGGTAGCTATCCAGGTGGGAGTGGAGAAAGTCATAGAATCATAGAATCATAGAATCATAGAATCGTCTAGGTTGGAAAAGACCTTTAAGATCATCCAGTCCAACCATTAACCTACACTACCAAGCCCACCTAAACCAATCAAGGGTAGACTAGACTAAACCATATCCCGAAGTGCCACATCTACCTGTTTTTTGAACACTTCCAGGGATGGTGACTCCACCACCTCTCTGGGCAGCCTGTTCCAATGCTTGACCACCCTTTCCGTAAGGAAATTTTTCCTAATTTCCAGCCTAAACCTCCCCTGGCGCAGCTTGAGCCCATTTCCTCTCGTCCTATCGCTAGCTACTTGGGAGAAGAGACCAACACCCACCTCACTACAACCTCCTTTCAGGTAGTTGTAGGGAGCAATAAGGTCTCCCCTCAGCCTCCTCTTCTCCAGGCTAAACAGTCCCAGTTCCCTCAGCCGCTCCTCATAAGGCCTGTGCTCCAGACCCTTCACCAGCCTTGTTGCCCTTTTCTGAACACGCTCCAGCACCTCAATGTCTTTCTTGTATTGAGGGGCCCAAAACTGTCAAAACTGTCAAGGTCAAAAAGTCAAAACTGTCCAGGCTTTAATTTTATCATTTCTTATAAGGTACCTAGCGCCCTGTTAATAAAGGCATTTTGCACCATAAATGAACACCCCAGCCTGGTATTATGGAGCCCAAAGTTACTGGCATTGTCATGAGCTGTAAACCACCACGTCTATGCTTCAGAGTCATTGACTGCCTCTTAGAACTTTGCCAGGTCCTAGTCAGAGTCTAAAATTCCTAATTACTTTCTTCTTATTTGAGCCCCTCTATGGCTTAAGAAACAGGGTCTTCTCTGAAACTAGCTGAGACTTACTCATGCATTGCTTCCTGCTGGCCAAGGATCCCGGCATGCCTGAAGTCAGAAGAGTTGTTAGGCAGAGAATCTCCCTGAGACATATGACAAATAAGTTATTTCACTTCCCTCAGCCCTATCTTCACTTTATTCAATGCAGAAAGTAGGAAGAGGGGATAGCAATAGAGAAGGTTTTCACTCAGAACATCTCTCCATACTTTGCAGCTGGTATTTTAAGGAAACACAGATTGTATTTGATAAATGCTAGCAACCTGTGTACGATGTGATAGATGCCAGTCAGATATTCAGGTAAAAGGGTACACTTGCTGCAAACCATACTTTCTCACTTGGAGGCTGAAGTGTAATCTGTTTTCCTCTCCCTCTTTTCAAGTTGTCCTTTATAGGATTGCAGACTGTGTTTCAAAACTGTGAATTTTAGGAAGTGGAGTGCTGTCTCAGAGGTGCTTATTTCAATGAAGTGCTATGTATACTCATCTCATTAGAAAGAAACAAAAATTAGCAAGTACTTTGGGCACATTTACATATCTGCATTTTACTAAAAGCTGTCTGGGTAAGTAAACTTTTTTAAAATTAATTGAGATTTTGGTTTGTTTCTGGAACACATTAAAAAAACTTTCAACCATTAATTTCATTGCCTTTCCTCTGGCTAGAATTCCACATTTTTTCTCAGGTTGATCTGGCTGCATAATTTTAGACCAAATTGAAAGATTTTCAGCTAAAAAGCTAGAAAACCAGAGTTAAGATTTGCGAACCAGACTACATAGTCAACATACATCTAGGTTTAAATATATGTTAGTCTGAATTTCTTCAGTCTTGAATCTGAGCTGGAGTGGATCTGTCTTGTGTTAATTTAGGAAGTGAATAATTTAAAAGACATTCTCAACTGCTGATAATTTTTCATTGAAATGTAAAACTGGGTGGATATGTGCATACAGTTGCAGGCTGTTCAGAATGTCATCCTGCTGGAAACAGTAGAGTGAACACTTATCTGATAACAATAATGAAGAAAATAAAGACATACATGGATTTGTTTTTTTATTCACTTTCAGGAAAGCTCATTGTTGGTGGTAGGGTTTTGGTTAAATTAGTCTGTGCAAATAAGTAGTCAGGCCACTAAAAATTTACAAGAAACTGAAGGAATGTTGATGCTTTACCAGCTTGAAATTCTTGTGTTCTTAACAAATGTAATTAAATCAGTACCATTGCCTATTCTTTGGGCCATAGATACAGTTACTTTGGAGGGTTGTAGAAATTAGGGTCTTATAAGGATTTCAGTAGTGCTTGTTCAATACCAGAAGAGCTATGCTTTTCTTATGAGTTTATAAGCATGAAAAACAAAGATTCACTGTAACTGGGGGCATGAGGATCTTGGGTAATCTTTTTTTTTTTTTCCCATATTATCTTTTGTTTCTTATTTCCACTGAATTTGCCTCAGAATGATTACTTTTTTTTTTTTTTGTGAAAAAGAAAAAAAATTAAGCTTTGTTGTGCTGTATCATATGTTTCTATGTTGACATCCTGGCATAGTTACTCACTATAGCAGGAAGAGTAGAGAGGCACTGGCAAGGTGTTTTCAACTAAAGTTTGAATTCTTCCCCCCACATTCAATGGCAAAACAAAAAAAGATTTAACAAAAGGCCACTCTCACTTTATCTCACTTTCAGGTATGTTTAATCTGGACGAATGCCTACTCTGGCACTTTAAAATTACTTGGATGCTCATACACTTTTAATATCTACTCAGTCCAGCAGTAAAAAAGGCCAGTAACAAAGGATCCTACACAGCAAGTGTTTGTATGAGGATCAAAGGTGCCTCGAATTCATATTGAGAGCTGATCCATTGAGGGAGAAGTCTCATTGGTACGTAGTTAGTTTTCTGACTCTGTGTGCATTTAATAGTATTCAAAGGTGAAGTTAAGTTGCTGCTTGAAATGAACTGTGATTGTAAGAAATGGTGGAAGTTTTTTGTGTGGTTATTTTTTCCCCAATAGTTGCTCAATGCCTTATATCAATTTTCTTTCTTTTTTTTTTTCAGGATTAACAAACCTTAAAAGTACTCTGTGAACACATTCATCATTTTGTCAGGCTCGACCAATGAATTTTATAAAAACCCAAGGATATTTTGAAAGGCCCCTGTCCAAATTTCAGCCAAGGGGTGCATCTGAATAGAAAACGTGGTACATTTTTACCTGCAACTAGTATTTTGGTCCTTCATTGTATGGTGAAAATCTTCTGGCGGAGGAAGAGAAGACTTCTTTTGTTAAGAACATTTTCACTGGTGGAAAGGAGCTGGCATCCCCTTATAATATGAAGCCCTTTGAGAAAAGCTGGTTGTTCCTACTGCTGCCTGTTATACTAAGAGTTGTATGCTCCTCCTTTATTAGTGTCAACCTTGGGGTGAAAGTGATGAAGGGACAATCTGTCTTCCTGTCAGAAGATGACCTCAAATTTTCCATCCCCAGAGAGAAGGATATCTGCAAAGTAGAAGTTGTGACTAATGAGCCAATAACACAGCGGGTTGGGAAACTAACTCCGCAGGTATTTGGGGTCCGTTGTGCTGTTCTGAGTGTCCATGTGTGTGCAGGTGTGGGAGAAACTAGGAAGAGCTGCTTCATTGCTTTTTTTTTTTTTTTTTGGGTTGTGACTAAGATGCATGAAACTGAATGGCCTCTGAGATTCAGTCTTTTGCTAAAAGTGGCCAGCTGATAAAGAACTGCACCCCTGAAATCCAAAAGCTGAGCTCAGTGTGCATTAAAGGGAGTTCTGCCAGTCTCCTTTCACAAGCGGAGAATGGATATTTCAGACATTTTCATTAGGACATATCCTCCCATCTCTCAGCTGCTTGTTCTTCTACCATGAGAGTAACCAGTGCCCCTCGGGTAATGCATAGCCCACTAGAGCATTTTGCATTTTAGTCACGCAGCCACTACTTAGTGAGCAATTAAGAAAAAAACCATCACATACAATAAGCACATTGTGTACACCGTTGTTTGCTCTGCTCTGCAATAGCTAAATTGCTAGCAGATGGCAAATACATAAAAAAAATGTTTTCTGTTAAAATTTCAAGCTTGTAGGAATAATGAACTATATTTCACATATCACCGTTGTGCTACTCATTTGCCTCACAAATCTCCCCACCTGAGTCATAGCCAAAAGGAGCTGGAAGTAATTGACATGAAGATGTAACAGTAGAGATAGAAGATCAATGGTTTTAAAATGAACCATAATCACAGTTTTCGTCTATTTTCCAAAAGTTTTGTTAATTGTACCATGCAGCATACACTTCTAAGTGTTTGTATATGTATATTTTTTTAACATCCTCTTTGAGCTTTCTGGTGGTCTCTGTGAAGGTGGAGGCAGGAGCACCAGTCCCAGCAGATTTTTCAAAGCTTCTGGCTTGGTCATCATCGTTATTTTTGTGGACTACTGACAAGTCCTTCAGCTGAACCAACACCTGGAAGGAGCAGAAACACACCAGGGAAAACAGGAGGCAATAAACAGGGCAGTGAGTGATCTTCTGTTGAGACTGGCCCCAAGATGTGCAGTGCCTCTGCTGAGACTTCCCCAGGGCTTGTTCTCCATAGTTCCCCCCTCCCTACTTCCCCAGTCTAGTTTGGCCCATGAGGAGAAAAAGAGAGACTTATATGTCCTACTGTGGGCAAACCTTTTCTGTAGGCAAGCTGGCTGGCTGAGTTTCTGCAGCTGGACCCAGGTATTTTGAAAAAGCCACTTTGTCCTGTGTCACCTGACATGCTTCAAGCACAGGGTCAGAGGTAGTTTTCCACAGACCCGAGGAGATGTGTACTCACCATACCTTATTCTCCAAAATATCTAGGGTCCTTGCATTTTCCCACTCCCAACCCCACCTCTATTAAGCGCCCGTCCTTTCATGGCCCTGATGTGAGCCCAGGCAGCCGAGTGTGGGTCTTGGAGGCTGCAGGCACACCTCATCTGGAGGGGTGAGCTCTGCTGGGCAGGTGGCCCTGGGGTACCAGGCTGGAGAGGGACTGTGGCTGCTGATGGTGCTTGGGATACCTCCCCTGGATGGCTCCTGGCCTGAGTGCCATCCTGTTAGGAAAGGTGCCTTCTCCTCCTCTCCGCAGCTGTGGGGATGTGGGAGTGCCAGAGACACACCACCATGCAGGGTCCCCCAGGGAGAACGCCAGTGAGTAGGCAGTCTGGTTATCTCAAGTCATATTTCCTTGCTGGGAAAGAATGAGATGGCATTTGTAAGTTGAGGGCTTCTGTTTTAAATGAATCAAAATTATGAGCCAGACACTGAAAAGTGCTGCCTGAGCTTCCACTGTTCCTGAAAAAAAAGGTGCCAGAGTCCAGCCCTCCGAGTGCCTCTTTCTACCAGGAAATTCTGCAGCCAGAAAATGCCTCTGGTCTGATCTGTTTTACTGCCATTAAAGTGAGTAATGTCCTAGGAATGTATAACAATTTAATTATAAATTGTAATTGAAAAGCAGTTGAAGTAGAAAAAAACAAAGCTCGACAGTAATTAGGAAAAGATTTAGATCTCCTTTGTCTTACCGAGCGAATTTATAGACAATTAGAGTTGCCTGTTCATATAAAAGGAAAGCATATTAGGAAACATAAAACAGATGTTTCTTTTTGCAAAGCAGATTGTGTCTTGTACATACATAAAATGACTGTCAGTCAGTGGTACCAGACCTTTGTGGAAAGGTCGTTCATTTTCCATCCCCTTGTTATCAATTAAGAGATGGAACTAATGAGGTCTTAGAAAGAAAGAAATTAATTCTTTGATATGATAAACCATCTCCTCTGCTGTAGGCAATCCCCTCTGATATGAACAGGGATGCATCATCTGAGCAGTACCTCATTGTCAGGTGCAAATGAGACCTACATGTTACCAAAAACCCTACTGACTTTGAGGGCTCTACATTGATGTACATCTGTGAAGAATCTCATCTTCAGTGTACAACATTAAAATACTGGAAGCTGTAATATGAGTGGCTTTTGTATATAATGTACTTAAGGTTACACACCACCTAACTACTTCTCTCAATTTTTTTTTTCTTTTTTGTAGGATATCACTTAGGACTATCTAATTAATTAATCACCTTCCTTTATGTTAGCTTATAATAAGAAAGAAAAGACATTAAGTAAAAAAAAGACATATTTGTTGTTTGCTAAGTACTGAAAAAACAAAACACATATTTCTGTGACATTTGAAAACAATACACAACAGAACAGCCACAACATAGTCAAAACCTTCATTATATGAGAGCAATTTTGTTTTTCACAAACTGTTCTTCCTTTCTAAGCAGTCCCAACAAATAAAATCAATCATACTTTCCATAACACCATATATTAGGGATTATTCCAAGATTCTTTTAGCCAATAGGAAGAGTGGTAAATCCGTGTATATGTATCTGGTAGTCAGCTAACTCATTATTTAAAAAAAAAAAAAAGATTTTGTACAATGTGCTTCTTGATGAATGTTAAAAGCAGGCAATATATTTTAAAATCAATAGGAATATAGAACAATTACCACATAGCTTGAGCGTCTGAGAATAACTTCAGTGGAAGTGGACATGACCAGTAATAATGAAAGCTGATAAACTCTAATTTTTTTTTCCATTATAGAAAGATGCAAGTTCTAATTCTGTGTAATGGCTAGAAAGAAACAAAGGTCACTAGTTATTATATCCTTTAATGTAAATCCATGAAATGGTCATGATGCACTGCAGTTAACTATGGATTAATAACTAATTTAGGAATTAAAGTGTTACTTTATTTTTTACACTGAAAGTCTGAGCATCCAAAGACTTTCTCTATACATTGCACTTCCAGTCAGCATTTCAGAACCTCACTAAAATCCCCCATCCATTTCACCATCCTCCAAAGTGGGATGTAGGTAATTCAGGCAAGCCACTTCATTTTCATAATTCTTTTGGTGTGTTTTAAGAAATGACTGGTTGTAAGATGTGCAAAAAGATGTGGTTGGTCAATCAGCTGCATATGTATGTTAATCCTTATTAGTTATGGCCTCATCAGGTCTATTAGTGAATGCTGAACAGATTTTACTCTAGTCCATAGAAGAACTGATCATGTGTGAATAGTGCCCATAAAAACTGAATCAAAACCACATTTAGTTTCATAGTGAGACACTCAGGAAATGCAATGATTAGCTTTTGCCTTCTTGCTGACAAGACTATGCCCTATCTCTCCGTAAATAAGAAACATGAGTATCCTCCACCTACACATGGGCTATGTAGGGGCTCCCTGTTGTCATAAGGAAATTCTGCTTGCTTTTATGCTGTGGGATTACACTGACATTGGGGATGGGTGTTGGTATTGCACAGAGATGACATCTGATCTAGTAAAAGGCTACTGGTACAAAGTCAATGTTCCAAACACATGTAACAAATCTGAGCTAGCAAAGTTTCCAACAGACGAGTTTCACAGGTTCATACTTTTGTAGTCCAATGGTAGCGGCTGTAAAGCAGGATTTACTGTATAATCAAGCTACCGCCACAAGCAACTTTAAAAGCTAATAAATCTAAGATTATACTGCAGGAACTGCTGGCTTTTCAGATCCACTGCGGTTGTCCCACTGAATACAGCTGCATCCATAAGTCGACAGAAGTGTGTGCTCAAACTATTTGTTGCACTGCAAGAGGGACGTGGCAGCCTGAAACAATCACATTTGTATGCTCATTCCCTTGCAGAGTGCCAGCAGCCCCACATAAAGGGGTTACTCTGGCTCTCACTGGGAGACCACAGAACGGGTGAATACCTATTCATAGAAATAAACTACAGATTGAAAATTTCCTTAGTCTCATGCATTCCTGACAGTCAGAGAGAAGTGGAACAGAAGCTGTGACGTTAACATCCTTGACAGTGTTGTAATTATCTGTTCTTTCTCCTTCATAGGTTTTTGACTGTCACTTCCTTCCTAATGAAGTCAAATACACCCACAACGGCTGTCCGATTTTAGATGAAGACACAGTCATGCTTAGGCTGTACAGGTAAGCAGCAGCGGGAGATCACACTTCGTTGTTACCAGGAGAACAGCTGCCCTCAGGAAGAGCAAGCTGTCCATTTCTCATGGTAAAAGCACGTTCTGCTGTGCATATTGTAACTAAGATCCAATAGCAACATCATTAGTCAACAAGTGACCATCTGTTTACAGAAACATTTGTTACAATGTATTTCAGATACACTCAAATAATGTGTTTGCTAGTATTAATACATATTATGTATTGCTTGTTTATTACAGAAATCCAGTGATTTTTCTTTTTATTATTGAAAGTGACAACAGTACTTTCAGAGCATTTTATGTTATGTGCTGTCCTGCTGATAGGGACACAGACCCTTGCATATACACAGCAAGTAACCTCTTCCTTCACACAAACACCCTTTTTACAAGTATGAGGAGGTGGGCAGCAGTGTCTGGTACCTCACTGGTCTCTGGTGATGTGGGGTTTGAGGGCACACGAGAGAAAAGGGTTCAAGTAATTAAATTTAGAAGGTGAGGCCAATGCCAAACTCACAGAGCGACAGAAGATGGGATGATACATAATTAATTTCCTTCTATCACCTGCAGGTTTACAGAAACTGAAACATTTGTAGAAACATTCACCCTCCACGTGCAGTTACTTGAGCCAGACTGTAACATCATCAAAATGCGCTCCCGTGCCCTGGAAGTCCCTGAGTACTATGGGCTGTCCAGGGTGATTGACAAGAACGTCCTCACTTTTGACTATGACAGGAAGATAAATCTGGATTGCACCATTTCCATAGTCTCTTCAGAAACCCACCTGCCTGCTTATGGCCAGCTCATCACGGGGGAAGTGCAGCAAGAACAGCTTCGTGGGGATCAGCCACAGAGCTTCTTCCCTGGCCCTAGTACGATGTGCTTTAGTTGTTTGCATTAGCAGGTTCAAAGACACCCAGCAGATTAAGTCTGCCGCAGTGGGTTGCTTTAGATGTGCTGGGTAAGGGTGGGTCATGTGAAGTTTAATGAACAGCTTGAGCTATCATGGAAACTGAAAGGGACATGAAGTTTGTGTAGGACACAATGCAGATCACAGATCTGGGTCAGTAATCTGCCGACTGGAATCTTTTTTTGGCTCCTAGACACGTGGACCAATGTGATGGCTTTGGGAGTACCAGGAGTCAGTAGAAACAGCCCAGGGAGTTATTGGAGGCAGCACCTACCCAAGAGACCAAGGGAGGTTGGAGTTGGAAGATGTCAGTTGAAAACAAAACCCTGTAGAAAAAGTTAAGTCAGGAAAGGAGTCCTAATTCTCATCACACTGGCTTTTTATCAGGGTTAGTTTAGCTATACGGACAGGCTTCCCATGTTGGTTTCTGCTCCAGTAACTGTTTCACTGTTGCTTCTGTTGGGTTACAGAGCACAGCCTGGGCCAGCAGTGCAGAAATGGGAGCTGCATGCTGGGGCTGGGGGTCATTCACAACACAAAAATGAGCTGTGAAGAATTTCTGAGGATGGGGATTCGATATCAGCACCTTGACCCTCCCTCACCTGACACCGATTATATTCCTGTGAGGTTGGATCTCACAGACAGCAGAAGCAAAACTCTGCACAAGGTAGATTTTTACACAACCTTACAATGTCTGATTGTTTTCCTGGTTTTCAAAAAAATTAAATTCATTGCTCCTTTTCACATTTGAAGAGAGGTAGCAATCCTGAAAGTTTGTTCAAGTTCTTACAATGTTGCCAGCTGGGCAAATGAAAAGCATTGTCTCCCTGCCTCTATGCTTAGACCATTACGGCTACAGAAAAACACCTCTGGTTGTTTACTGGCAGCATAAGTAGTTTAGCCTAAAAGCAAAATTAATTCTGGCATAACTCCACCTTTTTTATAGAGCATGAGCTGCACTGACTTCAACATATATAGTAATTAATGAATTAAGAGCTGTGTGAACATATTCAGTTAATAATAATTAATGGCTCATGCATGTTTCTGTCAGGTAAAGATATTCATTAAACTCACATCAAATTAAGCAAGTTGTTTCACCCAAAATTAAGGACACAAATAGTGAACCTGGAAGACCTTTTCATGATTTCTAAATATTTACTTTAGGCGTTTGCTCATTAAAATGTCTCAATTTTTCTTCTCATAATAATTATTGCTTTAACATGTACCCCAATTAGTTATATGAAGGTAATAGAAATTGAATTTGCTTTGTTTGCTTCACTTCGTCCTTTCAGTTGTCTCATTTTTTCCTGTTGTAGACTGAGTATGCATGGCTCCCTGTTCAGATTAAAGGTGCTGTTCCCAATCAAATACCCAAAGCTGCCCCAGTGGCAAAGTTCATTGTGGAAGTAGATCAGTTTATTTTAACCCCCGTAACAACCACAGCCATTGATGCTGGAGACGACGAAACTCCAAAGTCCCTGCTTGTATTCAACATTACCAAGCCACCTCCACAGGGCTTCATCACTCATCTATCTGACCATACAAAAGCTGTTGGCTCCTTCACCTGGAAAGATCTTAGTGACATGCTCATTGCTTATCAGCCTCCAAATAACAGCCACACAGAAAGGAGGAATTATGAGGTAACAATATAATGTATGAGCATTTGCTGTTTTTCACCTCCTTAAGATTCAGTAAGCTGTAAATAAATGTATTCATTTGTAATGGATATCTTTCAGAAAAAAAAAAGTTTCTCTAACCATATGCAATGCAGGAACAGAGGTAAAATCTTTTACCACTTTCTCCTATGACTCATCAGCTTAACTGTCTAACACAAATCACGTATTTTTTGCTCACTACTTAAGAATTTTTTTGCACTGAAAGATTTTTATCCCATCTGACTGAGAATGTCTAAACAGAATTTTGTTTTTTTTTTTGTTGTTGTTGTTTGGGTTTTTTTTAAAATTATTTTTTTATGAAGGGAATAGGGGAATAACTCTACCTGTAGATCTAACCAAGAGCCTTTGGAAGGATCAGTGGTGCCTTTTCCAAATAGCTTTTATCTCTATGTGACAGTACTGATCTCTGTGACCTGCGGACAGGTGACTGACTTAAAACCATGAAAGATGGACCAGCTAAATGTCAGGATTGCCATTTGATCTTGCACTCTACCTACTGTGGCAATGGTGGTATAGGGATAACAAAAAGGGACTCCCAACAGTTCCTGCTGGGAGGAGTGAAAGCATGTCACTAACACAGAGAACATGATGCAAATGATGAGAGCAGGCTGGTATCTTCAGGGTGTGGAATAAGTGAGTAAATAAAAAGCATTGATCTATGAGACCAAGACTGCAGGAATATGTTTGTGTTTAATGGGAGCGAACAGAGCACCACTTCCACCTTTTCCATGTTGGCTGCTAGCGATGTTTCTCCCTCCAGATCTGCCACAGAGTGCTGACGGTGAATGTCTCTTATTTTGGGTATAGTGTTACTTCAGTTTTTCAGTAACCAGTACTGCTAGATATTTTGTGTAATTCAGAGTGTGCCAGCATTCTGAGAAATAAGCAATAGTCTTAAAAAGGAGATGTAAGAGGAAGAGAAATGGGGTAAAGGAGTATATAAATATGCTGATAATTATAAAATAACTATTTGATAAGATAGTTAAGTAATAATGCAAACAAGACAAAATGGTTGGTACTAAAGTAATGAAACTGAAGAGAGAGAATCAGAGCAAGGTAAGCTGGGGAAATGGTGAACTGGAAAGCAGAGGAACAGTAACAGTAACTTTGGCACCTGATGCTGACAAGGCTTGTCTTTCTTCAACCTTGGCTGTCACAGGAACCCCCTTTCTTTCTGTTTTGTTGGTATGAGGATCAGTCATCCTACCAAACTGCTTGCTCCTTAAGTGCTCCTTGTCTCTGTTCTGCTTCCAGCATTGTTTGATCACAGGTTCAAGAATTTGACAATTCAAGAGTTTCAGAGTTCAAGAGTTTGATATTTAATTTTTTTTTTTTTTTCTGTGCCAGTCCATATCTTCTCTTTCTTAATTTTTTTGGTCCTACATATGTTAAGAGTGGGAAATGCCTCTTCCCCTCTTATTATTACTATTAAAAAAGCTCTATGTTAATCACTCAGTTGTACCCCAAACAACAGTGAAAATGCTTATCTTCCCCATTACTTTACACACATTGCAAGCTAACTTTCCCAGTATTCATGGAGAAGACCACAGAAGGCAAATACTTAATTTAGTGCAGAACCTCAAAGGCTCTTTTTAGCAGCTAAATCAAGTTTCATTTGTCAGCATATTATCAGAAGACTTTAAGATCTCTCAGGTAAGAACACACAGTATGTGTTTTGAGGTACAGCTGGTTTTCAGGCTCTTTTTTTTTCAATAAATAGTTTGTCTGTTTCCACAACAGGTAGAATTTGAGGTTCATGACTTCTACTTTGAAAGGAGTTTACCAATCACTGTGCATCTTTCTATCAGAACAACAGATACAAACGCTCCTCGGGTTTCATGGAATACAGGTGAGATCTCTTTTCCTCAGTTTATTTTGCTACAGAATTTATAACACTTTGACACAAACATTTGACAAAGCTCTAAAATTCAGATTTACACCTGAAGTTTAAGGATCATTAAACTGAGGGAGTGTAAATATGTTTTTTCCCTTTATCCATTTTGGGGGGACCATGTTATGACAACTTGAAAAAGTCTTAAGTTTTAACTGGAATAAAAAATAAAGAAAAATGGAGTTACAGGAAAATCAGGATTTCTGTATATAGCATTTTCTTCAAGAACGAACTGGACATAAAAGAGTAAAAATAGTAAAGACAAATACGTGATGGAACAGTAGTAGCAGGGTGGTGTGTGATAAAGACCAAGGCTTGTTTGTATTGTTTAACGTGAAAGTCTGCAAAAATGAACAACTAGAAAAAGAGGGCATGATACACCACCAGCCATTTGAAGCCTCGAAACCTTACAGGGTTAAAACTAATTCAAACAGATTTATAATGCCTGCACTGGAGAGGGGACAGGCTCTTCCATCTAGAGTGAAATGTACATTGATATTTAATCATCAAAAGGCAAAGGTATAAGATTAAACAAGTCTTGAAGTTAACACCAGAGAAAGACCAGTCTCCTCACAGCAGAAAAGGGAAGGAGCTGAGAAAGAGGGGCCTCGTGTCTCCCAGAGAAGCCCCACTGAAATGACTGAGTAAAAAGAAGAGATACTGTCCTCCATCATGAAAATCAACATATATTTTGAAATGTAGACTCTCTAAGTAAGCTGAGTGCCTGGTTACAGACGACGTGAGATTGCAAATGCAATACCCCAGTTTGTGCAAATGTCGAGAAACTGCTAGTCTATCAGATCATTGGGAACCAGAATGTGTTATTTCTCTGAACAGAATTCCTTAAAGACAGCTGACTAAGGCAAGTATGTCAGAATAAAAGGTGATATCAAGCTTTGAAGCTGGCCTTGAAATGTCTGTCACAGGTCCGTATGTAGTTGGAATTAAACATGCTTTTTTTTTCCTGACTGCAAAAACCTTTAGAAAGGTTAGATGCTGACAGCCTTGAATGTCGCAGACACTTTGGTGAAATAACTCTCCACTCTTTGCAGGCCTCAACCTCCTGGAAGGGCAATCCCGACCAATAACATGGCAACACTTCCAAATTGTAGACAATGATGACATCCAAAATGTTCGCTTGGTCACAGTTGATGGCTTACAGCATGGGCGGCTCACAGTGAGAGGTAAATAATTTCAACTTGAGGGCCTGGAAACATGTTCTCTAGTGACAACTGGCTACAAAAATGTGACAGTCAATAAGATGTTGATAGAGTCTGTCATATGTCACTCCCTGCTGAGGGCTGCCAGCATAAGAGACGGATTTACAAGGGAATGAAGGTGTGGAAGGAAATACCTGGATGCACAGCAAGAAATTTAAAAAAAATCACAAGCACATAAAGAAAGCCAGTTGCATAGCTTGGACAATTTTGCAAATAGTGTATTTATGCTGTCCACATCCTTAAATGGGAGATACTTGTAAGTCTGGCATTTTGCCTACCCACCACATTCATTTGAAAATAAAATTGGTTCTTAGTTTCTTCACTGGAGGTGAATTCAGCCCAAGGGAGCTAATGCAGCTCATAACGGCGTGCAGCAGGCCTGATGCTACCCTGTCTCACCAAGGCTAAATAAGGATGGGTAACTCCCCAAGAGACAGTGCTGCGACGCTGCTGCTGCTGCTGCAAAAACAGAGAAACGCCAGCATAGCCGTACATTGCTTTCTGTCGCTCAAAGGAAACAAGAAACCCCGCGGCATGAGAATGCATCTTCTGCAGGTTTGCCCTCCAGAGCGAAGAGCAAGACCCACGCCAAGGGAAGCGAAGCAGGCTTGCCAGAGAGCTCTGCTCCCTCTGCTGACCGGCTTCCCCTGCTACAACCATGCTAGACACGGGGATTAGAACAAGAGTATTGAAAAAATTCAGTATTTAAACTTTTTCTTTCTTAATGTACTTTTACATCCCAAAGCTGAAATTGTAAAGAAATCAGTTATGCTTTCATTGAGCAGGCATGACCTAGGTGAAATGCAGTCACTGTATTTTCACTTACATTTTTGCTTGAAGATGCTAAGGGATGCTGAGTGGTTTTGATCTGTTGGCAAATACAGACAACATTTGGATATGGTTGTTATTTACTGTCAGCTTTAAGGTTTATTTCAAAAAGTGGCAATTAAATTAGACTTCTAAGTCATTAACCTTCTGCATGGTCAATATTACCAATTTTGCTTTGCAATCTCCTGAGTCAGCACAGTGCTGCTTTCTTTGGGAAAATGGTTAGGTAAACAACAGTCACTCTGCTGTTGGCAGGGTGGAAAGATGCTGCCACTATCAATGCTGGATTTTTTGATAGTTAAATGTATTCATGTAAAATGCATAGCCTAGAGACATAAAGCAAGTATTTAAAGAAAAGGGGAAAGTGGTATTTGGAATTTAGAGGAAACAGAAACTATTCGGAAGTATGTTTCATCTCAGGAAACTACTGCCAAGGAGCTCAGTGTGGGCATGATCATCCTCCTGCGATGCTACAAAGAGGCACTCTGTGTTGTCAGCAGCATTAGATAGGCTCAGCCCCAACGACGGTGTTATGTCGTTGTGGCAGTCCCATCCTTGCATGCAGCCCCCATGGTTTTCTCAGCCTCCTGTGGGCCAGCCAGGGGTGGATATTTCTTCTCCAGTGACAGCGCCTTATTCTCTTTTATGTGTCTGCATAGGCATATGCAAAGGAAGCCATCACCGCAATTTTTGACAACTGCCTTTTTTGTCTAGCAAGCACAAGCTGATGCTCAAACTTTAAAGGAAAGCTCACATTTAGCCCTCCAGCTGCAGTGTAACTTCGATGCTGCTGGCAAATGGTCTGAGCCACTGCCCACTGAGTCAGTGGAGGGATTCCCATTAACTGCAGGGAACACTGAATCAACCCAATGTTTTGAATGCTCTGTTGTTGGGTTTGGTAATGCCAGTCCTGGAGCTAAAGGAAAGCCCTGAAAGAAAGAGTTATGTATGGTGTTGCTCCCTGCCTTCTGTCACTTCTAACAGGTTTTTGTTTGGTGGTGAGGCAGTTATTTCTCCATCCTAAAGTTTGCCCATAATTCTCTTCAAGGAAGGAGCAAAGGGAGTGCGTGGGTGTCTCTACAGATGTTACACAGCATGGAGGGCACAAAAATATTTTCCTTGGAGGCCCTGGGGAGATCATCTCTTCCAGCACCGGCTTGCAGTTCTCAAAACCTTTAACCTGCCTGAATGTTTGTGTATGTGCATAACATGTCTAGAAAAGCAGAGGTGTAAAATTGTCTTATTATAGACAGTAACCTCAATATGCAGAAAAAAACAAGACCCACAAATGTTATTTTTTACTTGCAATGAAATGCTGAGCTGTAATTATAAAGCATATTCTCTTTGATGCTTAAAATATATATAAAATGTTCTGATAAGAAAGTAGAGGTTGAAATTAAAGTGGAAACAGTAGCAGTTAAAAATCCTTCATATCTCCAGTTATCTTTAGTGCAATGGACATTTGGAGGATTTTCTCTGTTATCACAGTTGCAAATTCTGCATTCTTATTAACTATTCCAACTTCTACAAAGTTGTTTCCAGTAGGTGAAGTTACGTTTGATTTTTCTACTTAGAAATGCATTCTCCTTCTCTTTCCCCTAATAATATTCATATTGGTGGAAGGATTCTCCTCTGGGCTGAACTGCACATTTTTGATGCATTTTCTTCCACTGTTTTGACAGGAGGGAAAGGATTCCTGTTCACAGTCTCTGACATTCAGGCTGGATTTGTTCACTACCACCATGATGACAGTGATTCTACTAAGGACTTTGTGGTATTTAGGATTTTTGATGGCCCCCACAGTATTCGCCATAAGTTTCCAATCAATATCCTTCCTAAAGATGACAGCCCTCCATTTCTTATCAGCAATGTGGTCATTGAAGCTCATGAGGGAGAGACGATCCTGATTCAGAGCTCCATGCTTCATGCTTCTGACATGGATTCCAGTGATGATTACATACTCTTCAATATTACCAAGCCACCACATGCTGGAGAAATCATGAAGAAACCAGGACCAAACTTGATAGGTAATGAAACATCCACAATAGCACACTTTTCTTTGTCCCTTCCTTTTTAAACTACATTAAATGTTACAATTAGACAACTTATTTTGGCTCAGGACAAATCATGGCAAATTTGGACTTCTTTCATTATTCTGTAAATCCCCATCATCAATTAATGCTGGTCTCTGCACCAGGATAACTATACCTGTGAACACAATTTATCCCATAATTCTTCCATTCTGAGTCTATTTTCTCCTCCAGAAAAGTTGGGCTAGTCAGGAGTTACTTTATCTGCAAGGATCCCTGACAAGTTCAAACCTATTAGATGATGCTAATGATGCTAAAAGAGGAAGAAAGCTCTCCTTCCATTTAACTGAACTCAGAAATTCCTGTGCTAGACTGCAGAGGCTGCTAGTCCTGCAAATTTTCTTTTGTCCTCTGAACAGGGCTTTAGGCCCATTTACTGTGTTGCTTCATTTTTTGAATTCTTTTAAGTGACATAGAAAAGAAGTTGATGATCTTCAGGAAACATGGAAGACAATGAGACAACATTTCAAAACGCTTGCCCTAGTTAGGGTGAGAAAGAGGACGTTATGCTTCACCAGTTACTTCACAGCTAATGGATAATTCTTATGAGTTACTAAAATCATGCGCTGTTCAATAGAAGATATATTCTTCAATTCAACAGGGTATTCCGTCAGCAGTTTTCTTCAAAGGGATCTATTTAATGGAATAATTTATTATCATCATTTGGGAGGAGAAGTATTTGAAGATTCCCTTGAGTTTGTGCTGTGTGATAGCCATGACCCTCCCAATCTCTCAGAGCCACAGGTATGAAACTGAAGCATCTTTGGCAGAGTCCTGCATTTTTCTTTCAAATGGCTGATGATTTTACACCTTCTGACAGACTTGCAAATCAAACTGGTATAGATCTTTTTTCTGTTTGCCCCCACCACGGTTATGACCACAAATAGTGTTCTTCAGAGGTAGCTCTTGTTCTTTCTTTCTATGGGGTAACTCTCTCTGTCTGGCCACAGAGAGACAAGTCCATTGCAAAGACTTTTCCTACACTGTAAAATGAAATGTTGAAAAAAAATGAGATTTAGAGATGGTAGAAACAAACTACACAGCCCTCCTGAAGTTAACTGAGAAGAGACTATTTCACCCAGGAGTCCAACATACTGAATTTAACTTTTCTTTTAATTTAAAGGGAAACCACTAAGATTCATAGACTTTGCATTTAACTGTGGTATATTGGTTTAGTGTGGACTTGGTAGTGTAGGTTAATGGTTGGACTGGATGATCTTAAAGGTCTTTTCCAACCTAAATGATTCTATGATTCTATGATTCTATCTCCTTTACTCGTGTGTTTGTGATATGGCATGACAGCCACATCCTCTATCTCATATTCCAGTGATCCACTTCTGTGTGTGCACGTTTGTAAACAGCTGCTTGGACACTCTTTTACTGAGAGGAATGGTTGCTGATTTTCTTGTCTTCCTGATTTCAGGTGATGATGGTGCACATTATCCCTGTGGATGATCAACTACCCAGAGAAGCCCCAGGAGTGACCCGTCACCTGGTTGTTAAGGAGACTGAGATTGCTCACCTAACTAAGAAACACCTCCACTTCATAGATGTGGAAGAGCAGGACAGGGAACTCACATACACCATAACTACTTCCCCATTTTTCTCTTGCACGCACAGGTAAGCGTGACTTTCCCTACCTTTCAGGTGGGACAGGGCAATGACCCACGTAAAGGGAGCAGCCTCAGTGGCAGTACTATGCTTTTGTCTCAGGTTCTTCCTCTGTTTGCTTAAAGTGCACGTGACAATAGCTGGGTGCAGCACTCCTATTGATCATTAAGGGTGAGCTAGAGCTGAAAGTAACAGAATAATACACAGAGTAATAAAAAAAAAGAGCATAGTTTAGCAAGAAATAAAAAGGAGCAAAGCACCTGAAATCTTTTCTTTCCTTTTGTTGGACTTGCATTTTACACTGGCCTGTGGGATCCTGTACACCCTTGAGCACAAGTCACAGGATCTCTCCTAACTGATAGAGTGGGGCTGACCTGGGCCTCCCCAAACCTGAGAAGATGAGGTGCTACAGCTTTTTCTAGGATAGGTGTTATTACCATGGCACTGTGAAGGACTCCTGGTCCTGGACCAGGAACCTGTGGAGCAGAATGCAGGCAGAACAGGTTATGGGGGCAATAGTGGTATGGGATGAATGGGTGTAGCAGCAGTTTATATGTCACTGATGCTGTTTCACCATTTGGTAAATTCATGACAGCATTGACAACAATTTGCTAAATAGAAAAGTTTAAAATCCAGCCATTGTATCCTTTAAGCTGAAGATCAACACTTCCAATTTTGACCTCAAGCAACAGATGATCAGTGCACAGCTGGGGGAGAAGGATGTTAAGGCTATTCCCCTATTCAGTCAAATAGCCACATGGTTATCCAGTTTGCTGATTACTGCTGTTGGAAAGCTGGCTTGCTCGAAACTGGTTCATTTCAGAAGTTAATAAGATGCACAAAACCCAGAAATAACTTATTTTTCTATGTAACGATAAATGCAGGTGTGTAAGTAACAAGAATGTGATGGCCTAGACTTGCAGGTGGTGTAAATGGCATCTGCAGTGTGCAGAGACACACTTGTAGCAAACACAGAGCTTGCTTATAAGGTATGCAATGATTTTTCATGACCATCCTGAAAAGTATTTCTTGTGGTCAGTTTTCTGTGATAATGTTTAAATGAATAACAAGGATAGAAGAAAGAAAAATGTTTTTCCTTTCAATGCAGTTGGGAGTGGGAAGTTAGTCTGAAATGCAAGATTGAGCTATGTGACTGTTGTTGTTCCTGCTCTTTGGTATTGCTAACCATGTACAGCATACGTATTTTTTTATAGCCACGCAGATGCTGGGAAGCTGTTTATGGTGGACACCATCCCCAAGCTGGTCAAGGATCCTGCTGCTCTTGCACTGCAGTCATTTACTCAGGTTTGTTATGTTACTTGATACCATAACCAGTTCTAAACAATTTTAGGTGAAAAATGAGGGGCAGTACTATCACAAGCTCTGCTTAAGAAGCTCAAAACTTTGCTAATTCAAGTCCAACTTTTAAAACAAAATTCCAGTTCTGCAATACGTAAATACAGCTCTCCTTCTGAAATCAGTAGGGGCTGCAGTTGCTTAGGGTAGGCTGAATTTGGCTCCAGCATGATGTTAAGAGGAACGAAAAAACACACAAAATGTGGAAATGAGGCCTTGACAGTTTGCTGCTTCTCAGTGTCTCCACCAATAGATATGGTACAGGCTGGAACAGGCCCTTTTCAGGATTTTGTTTTTCAGTTTTCATGCTTCTGTAGTTTGGCCAATGTCTTGTGAATATCAGTAAAGCGCTCTGTTTTATAGCCTGCTGTATGGTTAAAGTTGCATAATGGTGATCATTGCAGTACCATAATAAGAGCTCTGAGCCTACAATACCTTAATCACCTGCCTAATATGGGTGTCTGGATGCAAGATTTTGGTGATTATTTTAGCCTTTATGCCGGCCTGCCCTCAGCTGGGGAGGCAGCCTGTGCAGTTTATTCATACTGGTGAGGGCAAATTCAGCTGCCATGGGAGATGTTACATTAAAAGCTATGCTTTGATGAATTGTTTATTTTAAAGTCACAGTTAGAAAAGGCCCTGGGACCAGCATTCTTAAAGGGCTCCATCAAGAAGGTAAGGCCATTGCCTCTGTTATCACTTATAAACCGTGTCTGGATTTTTTGCTACAGGTTTGAGTATTTGAACCTGTACTCACCTGATTTGTAGCTAAAGATGCATTTAGTCAAGGTATTGCCAGTAGCTAAAGAGTACATGCAAAGTTTCTGGAATTCATTTTGCCAGTTTGGATGACATCAGGGGATGAGAAATGTTCCTAATGTACTGAACTATGGCTACTCCCATTATCTCTTCTTATATGTACCCCTCTTCTCTTTTTGCAGCATGCTGTGAACTATATGAAAGTTGCCTACATGCCGCCGCTGCAGGACATCGGGCCTGAACCTCAGCAAGTCCAGTTTGTTTTTTCTGTCAGCAACCAGCATGGTGGCACTTTGTATGGGATCTGCTTCAATATTACAATTATTCCTGTGGACAATCAAGCCCCTGAGGTAGGGTGGTAGTGAAGGCAAGAGGGAAGGACTTGGAAATGGCTTTGGGTAGAAACAGAAATGCCGAGAGATATCCTGATTTGACTGAAATAAAAAATAAATCTTCCATGGGATCAGGGTTTCAGTGTCTTGCACGTAGCCTGCATTGGGACTGAAGTGGAAGGTGAAGTCTGGTGAGTTTGTAAGGTCATTTTTTGTGCTAAATGAGCTGAAGGCTACCTTCAGCGTCTGAGTGGTGGCTGTACAAAAATACATATATCACACCATGGTTAGCAAAACCGCATCCCTCTTCTTTGTGTTGCCTATTGCCTATGAAGGTCAGAAGCCTCGTGAATGGGATCAGGATGGGGCTACATGTATTAGGGCCTTATTACTAATTCCTTAGGTTTTCTTAATGTAGCAGAAAAGAGGACAGCCTTTGGCATTTTGTTTTTCAAGGTGTCACACGTCCTCATACCAAAGCAAATTGAAATTGCCCTGTTCAGTGTGTGTTTGGAGATGCAGTAGAAAAGAGAGTTCAGCATTTCTCCTCCATGCAGGTTTTTACAAGCCATTTGAGAGTGGAAGAGGGTGGCCTAAGCCCTGTCACAGAGGGACACATTCTCCTCTCTGATGTGGACACGAAACAGGAGCATCTCCTCCTCCTCCTGAAGAGACAGCCTCAGCACGGGGCGGTGGAGCTGGATGGCATTCCCATGAGTGAAGGTGACAGGCTTTCCTGTGGGGACCTGCGTACCCTGGCAGTCAGGTTAGAAGAGTGGCTGTCTTCTCCTCTTAGAGTGGCTGAGTCTATCAGTCAGATGAGTGAAAGCCCTGCAGTGAAGTGGCGTGAGGTGCAGAAGCTACAGCTAGCTATGCTCACCATAGCACGGCCCTGGCAGAGCTGCTCCAGGCCAAGGTTGCTGGCTGAGCCTCAGGACCACAACAGTCACTGTGGAAACTGAGCTGTTGTGTGGCCAGGAAGCGAGAGCTAGCGACCATGTCTGATGTAGATTGGTTTCTCCATAAAGCACTGCCCCATGCAGACGAGGAGGCAAATTCTGCATTCAGCCATGCAGTTCCTGTGAAGAAGGCAATGGTTGCCAGCTTTTTTCAAGGAAGTTGTGTGTTTATTAAACTTGGTTACTTTACAAGAAAACTTGTATTAACACTGATTAACCTAGAGATTAAAATTTTGCTGCTATATTTGTGTCAAGAACAAGACTCAACTTTCCACATGCATGCAGAATTAGAGCTCCCTGACTCTGTTCCCATCTGTTAGTCAAAGAGGGCACCTACCACAGCGAGGACATAACATGTTTGGTAGACACCTCACAAGCAGCCAGAACGTAGATGACAAAGCCTCAGTGAAACCTTTTTTCCAGCTGATGTCTGGTTTATCTTGGGGGTTTTCTTCTTGTAGGAGACTCCACAAGCCCTCTGAAGACACTCTGATGCAGAGTCAGCAGTCTTAGATGGACACCCTTGCACAGGGATTGGCTTTTTGTACTGGGAGGGATCCACATTGTCTGGCATGTCCAGGAAGCACAGCTTCTTTGTCTGTGTGAAATCTGTGTAGCTCTTTTTTTTTTTTTTTTCCCCCCACAGGTATCGGCATGATGGCTCTGAGACTCTCACTGATGATGTCCTCTTTGCAGCCACAGATGGCATCCACTTTGTAGAGTTCATCCTGCAGGTCAAGGTCAGTGTGTTGCATATTTCTGAGAGCAATTGCCTGTGTAGAAGAATGCAAAGCTTGACTTCTGAAAGTCTTCATATTTGCTTGGAAGATGGAAGATAATGGACTTGCTAGGCTTTCATTTCAACCCTAGCTTTCAGGTTTATGTGGCAAATTTGAGAGGATACTTAGCTTGTGCTAGCTGAAAGGCATTTGTGCTTGCTCTAGCTTGGGCTCTTCTGTCTGGAATTATTCTCTCTCTACTTAAATATGGGATGTGAGTTTTCTTTCTCAAGCTGTAACTATCTAGTTTGGTTTACTTTTATCTTTGAATTTTAAGAGTGACCCTAATTCAGCTGGTTTCATTTTGTTCACAGAGAGAGCTCAATGCGCTCTGACACTGACACTATGCTGCTGGTTTGGGTTGGAAAGCAATGTATTAAAACAACAGGTTTCCACTGAAATGAAGAATAAAAGATCTTAAATTATTTTTCTGATTAGGTGTTGCCTGTGAATGACGAGCCACCTGTTATGCGAACAGGCCTTGTTCCTGTGCTCCACTGCCTGGAAGGCAAAGAAGTGGTCCTCTCCTCAGAGTACATTTATGCCACAGATGCAGACAGTGATGACATGAAACTGATGTTTATGCTGGCTCGCCAGCCCTACCACGGGGTAGTGAGGAAATCTGGCATTGCTGTGGATCGTTTCTCCCAAGCTGATGTCATCTCTGGTTTAGTCACATATAAGCACACTGGTAAGTGAGTTAAGGACAGAATTAGACTGGAAAGTGGTCAGAGGGGTTTTGGCAGAAAATCTTAACCTGAATCCATATAACCTTTGCAGAAGCTCAGCA